AATATTGTTTTATTACATTTTGTGTAGACATTGCTTGATATTTTATCATATTAATATTGTTTTATTACATTTTGTGTAGACATTATTTGACATTTTATCATATTTTGTATTGTTTTATTACATTTTGTGTAGACATTGCTTGACATTTTATCATATTTGTATTGTTTTATTACATTTTGTGTAGACATTGCTTGCATGTTATCATATTTGTAGTGTTTTATTACATTTTGTGTAGACATTACTTGACATTTTAGAGACATCCCATTAATTAAAAAAAATACTAAACCAAGATAAAACACAACGTTTTGTCGATATATATTTAGGATGATCATGACCATGATACTTCTTTATAGCCATTGAATACAATCAACATGATGTCATGTGCTGATAGAAAACTTTGTGTTTCAAGCTTCTTTTATATTTGTATGTAGTTCTCAAGCACTGTTTCTTCCTTTTTTGTCAATTGACAGAACAGCCAAAAACAGTTTTAAATCCGAAACTTAGAACTATAATTCGGTATAGATACATAAGAATATTTTTCAGGAAAAAAGAGTATATATGTATATATATTTAAAGCGATATTTCTTCGTAAAACAAATTTTCATAGATTTGGCATGCCCTTCGTTTTTTTTCCTGGTCCCTCAACATCAGGCGTTACACGTAAAGTAAATAAGTTGATCTCTTTCCATCCAGAAGAGGGCGACAAAATCTATTCTGAAAAAAAAAAACGAAGAAAAAAAAAACAGAAAAGATATAAAGTTACACTATTATATGTAAGTTTTATATCGCAAATACTATTATGAACAGTGTGATACAAACAAATAAGTACAAAATAATGGAAATGACCACATTCACGCCTTAACCATTAAATGTTCCACACAAGAAACTACTTTAAGCAATAAAATTATGAACATTTGTGAACTTACCAAGGTTTTCTACCAATTGCCTCCTTTGGTTCCACCAAGTCTTCCAACAGATCCACCACCCAGTCCGCCAAAAGATCCACCACCCAGTCTCCAATCATTAAAACTGCCACCAAAACCTCTCAGTCCACCTCTTCCTCCATCGAAAGTGACAGGGATGGCAAGAATATATACAACAGGAAAGCCTCCAAACCCACCGAATCCTCGACCAATCTGACCATATCCACCACCAACTCCTCTACCAATCTGACCATATCCACCACCAACTCCACTACCAATCTGACCATATCCACCACCACCACCAACTGCACCGAATCCTCGACCAAGTCTACCATATCCACCACCAATCTGACCATATCCACCACCAACTCCACCACCAATCTGACTATACCCACCACCAATTCCACCGAAACTGCCACCAAGTCTACTACCAATTCCACCGAACCCATCTCTTATTCCTCCGTATCCACCACCAACTCTACCAAACCCATCTCTTATTCCTCCATATCCACCACCAACTCCACCGAACCCATCTCTTATTCCTCCATATCCACCACCAACTCCTCCGTAGCCTGATGCCTCAGCCTTCAGATCGGCAGTTTTAGAGGTATGAGACCGTTCTTTTGCAGCCACCACCAGGAAAAGCAAACCAAAGAGCACATAGGAAATCTGCAAGGTAATGGAAGAACATTATTTCAATAAGAAAATAATTTAATCCTTTAGTAACAACAGTTATTGTCGGATAATTCTACACGATTTATTGAAATATAGTTAATATATAACACGGGGAAAGAAAACTGTCAAATATCTGGAGTTGATAATCCTGGGGGTGACGTAGTGCTTAAATTTTAAACTTAAGTGTAACTTTTGATTTTAGATTAGAAAAAAATTACATCTTTGTGGCTATTATATAAGAGTTTACGAAATTTTAAAACAAAAAATAAATATTATAGATTATAGCGAGTACTAAAGTAGCAAAAACATGGCCGCCAACTCGGGATAACAAATTCGTTTACTAAGACCAGCGTTTCGCCAATGCGATTTCGTTAAAGTTAAACATACTTGTCAATACACCAACATACACATAAACTGATCCCACTTGTGCTACAGTCAAACTAGGAATTTAATCTCGATTAAACTGTAATGACGAAACGTTAGACAGAGTAAGCGTAATGATGAAACGATGGATTGATACAGTATAATGAAGAAATTCAGAACTGATTAAACAGTAATGGAGAAACGTTGAACTAATTAAACTGCAATGGCGAAACGCTGGCTTGGTTGAATCGCAGTGACGAAATGTTGGACTGATTAAGTCGTAATGGCTAAACATCGGACAGGTTAAATTTTGGATTATATCGACTATTATTCGTTTGGAGTTACCATCTGTTATGTCAGATAGTTCCGTGGTAAGTCACTGGACTTATAACGGTAAAATTTGGGTTTCGATACTCGTAAAGGGCAGAGCGTACGTCACTTAAACAGAAATCATACTATAAAATAATCGAAATTTACAATGTAAAGCACTTAACTTCTATTTCAACAATTATTATACATTACATTTACAATGTAAAGAACTTAACTTCTATTTCAACAATTATTATACATTACATTTACAATGTAAAGCACTTAACTTCTATTTCAACAATTATTATACATTACATTTACAATGTCAAGCACTTAACTTCTATTTCAACAATTATTATACATTACATTTACAATGTAAAGCACTTATCTTCTATTTCAACAATTATTATACATTACATTTACAATGTAAAGCACTTAACTTCTATTTCAACAATTATTATACATTACATTTACAATGTAAAGCACTTAACTTCTATTTCAACAATTATTATACATTACAATTACAATGTAAAGCACTTAACTTCTATTTCAACAATTATTATACATTACATTTACAATGTAAAGCACTTAACTTCTATTTCAACAATTATTATACATTACATTTACAATGTAAAGCACTTAACTTCTATTTCAACAATTATTATACCTTACATTTACAATGTAAAGCACTTAACTTCTATTTCAACAATTATTATACATTACATTTACAATGTAAAGCACTTAACTTCTATTTCAACAATTATTATACATTACATTTACAATGTAAAGCACTTAACTTCTATTTCAACAATTATTATACCTTACATTTACAATGTAAAGCACTTAACTTCTATTTCAACAATTATTAT